GTTCTTAGTGATAAACTGGGTTGAAGCCACAGGGGTCCCAAGGTGAGAGTAATCCACAAAGTTCTCCATGTCCCAGGAACCTGGAAAGGGAAGAGAAATGACAAATTCTTACTCTTACTCAGGATCAAGCTACATGTGATGATGGACAAACTACCTCAATCACATATCCAGCAGGAGCACAAGTAGAGCACCAGCTGGATGCTTCCTTTGCTTTCTGATCCTCTGGAACCTCTTCAACTGTTGGAGGTTGGCTGAGAAGAAATGTGTCCTGACATTTGGTGGTGGGAGAAAGCAGACAGACTTTGGGGAAGTAAGCTGTGCATGGTGACACGGTTTAGCTCAGGGGTCGCCAAACTTATTGGACCAGAGCATACATTTTGAATTTTCAGAAAGTGCTGTGGGCATCAGTCACAAAATGGATGTAATGGGGAGCATAACACAAAATTAGAGAGTACACTCATTTCAGCTTCCACCACCACACTGCTGCAAACAGCCTCAAGCTTACCATGGGAAGTTCAGATTGTGGTAGTCACATAATACTGTATTGATTTCTCTCTCACACAGTGATGCTGTTGCTGTCTAAGGTCTCAACCAACTTGCCATTAAGTTTGGGCCTAGCTGTTTCATTTTTAATCTAGTCCGGGGCTAGATTTTACTTGGGGAAAGACTCCTGAAAACTCATGTTTTCCCATTCATTCCTCTAGTCAGCATTTCGTGTCGTCTCCACCTCCATCTCTGTCCACTTGTCGCAGCCAAGTTGAGCAGGCACATTCAATCACACACACCCTGGAGGCATCTTTGTGCTAGACTCAAACTTCTAGACCTGCACACAAATGAAGCACCAGTAACTGTGGAAGAGGAAGAGTGAGCCTGCACATTGTTTTCCTTTTTCAAAATCTCATTTTGCAGGGCTGCAACAATCGATGGAAGTAAGTGGCATGCAAATTCAAGACTCACAAAGCCGAGAGGAAAAGGCACAGATAAGCTGATCAAGAGGAGGGCTTTTAAATGTGTATCAAGGAATGACATCTACCCTGGTGGACAGCAGGGTCCAGAATCAATCTAAATTGAAGGCAGTATGTTGAGGACAAGAAGGAATGATTCTAGATTGGAAAAAACCTAAATTTTAGTGCTACAAACAGGTTCGTGTGTTCACAGCCTGTGTGAGAAGAGGACAACCAGTGGTTTTTAAATGAAAAACGTATTTCCCTCAAGCTTCTGATCCCATGACCTGAGAACCATGGACAGAGAACAACAACAACAACAGAGAAACAAGAAGTGAAATTGTATCTAGTCTCAGAGAGCTTGCTTTCCCGCCCATTAACTTGCTTGGGCAGCCATGGCTGCAACATTCTGTGAAGAAGTCACAGGGTGAGTCATGAAGTACGTATGGCTTCAAGGCCAAATTCTGCAACAGGGGGAAAGTCCCATTTCTTCTTCATTCATCAATAAAGCTGGCATTGGGTGGGGCTAATTTTTACAATGAAAGCTTTGTATAGATGAGGGGGACATCCTTCTCCCCACCTCCTGAGGCTCCATTGCCCCAGACACTTTTCACCCAGACCAACTCTGATACCGACTGCAATAGCTCCTGCTCCTATTTCTTCAGCTGAAGGCAGCAGGAAACTGCACATTTCATGTTTAGAGCTTTAAGGCCCTAAAGAAAGACATGGGCACACTGCAAAGTGCTTTCACTGTGGCGAAGCCTTCTCATTGCTTAAGGTGCCTTTGACTTTCCCACACAAGAAAAACCTTTGTGGATACACCAAAGGTCCAGCTAGGCCAGTATCCTGATTTCCAGAATGGACAAGCAGGTCTTCTGGTTAATTCCCAAGCAGGAAACAAAGGCAGTAGACCTCTCCTGATCTTGTTTCACAACAGGTGCTGCTCAGATACATATTGTCTCTGAACCTCAAGGTTCCACATGGCCATCATGGCTTAAAAGAGCCTGCCCATGAGCCACTGGGTCAAACCTTGGCTTAGCTTAGTGTGCCATGGCACAAAAGAGACCGGGGGGGGGGGGAGCAAAGCAGCCACAAGCTCCTCTCCAGAAGCCTGCAGGCACAGGCAGTCTAATTAACCAAGCCATTGTACATGGATATAACTTGGGGGGGGGGCGGGTAGGGAGGGGCACCTGCCCCCCTAAAACAAGTAAATCAAGACAAACTACTTGAGGTTCTTCCCCCCCAGCATAAAGCCTGCCCCCCAATAAATCCTAGCTACGCCATCATGTATTTTGCCTACACTTCCCACTGGTGTACACGCAACAAACATATCTATTGCTTAAATTGTCAAGCTCAAACTTCCTAATCTTTTAACTATAGAAGCAGCTAATCAATAGTAGGTCAACTCCCATTGACCCACAATAAAGAATAGGGTAGAGGTGCCCAAAGCATTGTCCTGCCTCAGTTACATTTAATTGTTAAGAAAAATATTGCCATGTGTTAGATAAAATGGCAGGGAGGCGGGAAATGACAGTAAGGTAGCTCAGTTCTTTTAATTCATTTCCTTCAAGCAGTGGAATTGGTAAAACTGCAGCTTCTGCCTAGACTCACCAGTGCTTAGCATCCTGGGAACTAAAGTCATTTGATTACAATCTTGACACATGACTGGGCTAGACCTTGGGTCTTTGTTTGGTTGGAGACTGGTTGTTATGACCCCATTCTTCTCCTTCTGCACCTGTCCATGCTGCCTTCCTTGTGATTGTTGCTGGGCCAGGAAGACTGCCTGCTTTATCTAAATTCAGATCTTGAGGTTTAATGAACATAACAAACCAACCCTGCAGCTCTTGCAAAACAGTGAGCAAAATTTGGTTGCTTCATCATCTGCCTCCAAGGCAATGAGTCCAGCAATGAACAAGCAAGGATGCAGCTGAGTTCAAGTGCCTTCCCTTTGCTGCCACAAACTGAAAGGCGAACCAGCCGAGGTACGTGCTTCTGCGTGCCTGGTGGCTCCTTGTGGCTCAGTGCTGGAGAGCAAGAGCAAGGAGCTTCTATGCACTGCTGTTCTGCTACTAAATGAGAAGAAATCCCCTGCTCTACAGCAATCCTTGTTTCTTGCTCCCTCCATACAAAGTTGTCAGTTTTGGGTTAACCCCAAGGAAGTGTCAGTCATGGAGCTTAAGCTGCTCCCATAATTGGGAGAGTACACATTGTGCAATGTCAGTTCATTCACTTTCCCCAAAGAGTCCTCCGTTCTTTACTGAGGGAGCAAACTCAAATTATAGCAGCAATTGATTCTGCATCTGGCTTGCTCCATGCATACACACCATACATTTAAAACACATTTAAAGCACATGAATTTTCCCCAAATGAACCTGGGTAATGTAGTTTGTTAAGGGTGCTGGGAGCCGTAGCTGGGTGAGGGGTAAACTACACTTCCCAGGATTCTTTTTTGGGGGAGCAGGGCAGGGCAGGGCAGGGAGGAAGGTGCTTTAAATGTCTGGTGTGTATGCAGTCTAATTGAGCTGATTCAGGAACACCACCTTGCATTGTATACAAGCAGAAAAAGAAACTTACCAAGTTCCATGCAAAATAAAAAAAAATGTATAAAAATTGTAATAAAGGAAAAGCTCACATGACAAAGAGGAGACTCCCCTTTATGACTTCTCACAATCACATATCTGAGTTGTGGTGTGCAATGACAGGTACCATATTTAGTACTTGCCAACTTTGACCCTTACTCATTCCATCAAATGAGGTATTGCAGAGAGATTGCTTAGTTTGGACACCTGAGTTTTCTTTTTCTCCCTTTTAATAATTTTTATTAAGTACAAATTAGAAAACATACATATTTACAACAAAAGAAAATACAAAAGAAAAAGAAAATACATATAACCAAGGAAAAAAATTATAGAATACTTTGTCTCTTTTCATATTTACAGTTATTTATACCTCTATAAAATGCTATTCACAATAAAGGAATGAAATGAAATATAAGATATCAGAAAAAAGAAAAAAAGAACAAAGAAAAAATAAAGAAGTAAAAGAAAAGGATCATAGGTGAAAATTTTAAAAAGTAGATAAGTATTCACTATACATAGCTGTTTCCCATCTATATTTATATTCAATTGTATAATTTCATCTTGTCCTTATCTACCTTAAATAAAGTGTGCTTTTTTAAAAAAAAAAAGATTTCCACCGTTTACCTCACGTGTTTTTAATAATCCGTTCGTCAGATCCTCTGTTCTTCATATTTTCCCTTTGGATTTCCTTAATGTCTCACTTTGTATTTTTTATATTACGCACAAGATTATTCTAAACACAACCAGATTTTTATAGTCGAGCCCTGGTTTTGTAAATAATCATTTAAGAACTCCCATTGCTTCATAACCATAGTTTTGGATTTTCTCCTTATTATATCCGTCAGTTTTGCTAGTTCCAGGTACTCGCAAAGTTTCCCCAACCATTCTCTTTTTGTTGGGATGCTGTCTTCTTTCCAATAGCTAGCAATCAAAATTCTTGCCGCTGTTGTTGTGTATAGGAATAAGTTAGTTTTATCTTTTGGGATATCTTTATCTAGAATTGCTAATAGATATGCCTCTGCCTTTTTTGTGTGTGATGTCCTTATCAATTTTTTTTATTTCGGCGTGGATCATGTCCCAAAAGGTTTTAATCTTTGGGCAAGTCCACCACATGTGGTATAACATACCTTTTGTTCTGTTACATTTCCAGCATTTGCCGTTGTTCCTTTTATTTATTTTTGACAATCTGTCAGGGGTTAGGTACCATCTGTGGTGAATTTTTCTGAAATTCTCCCTTAATAAATCACACGCAGTAAAATTTATGTTTTTCTCCCAAAAAGTTTTCCCTCTTTCCAGATCTATCTCATATCCCAAATCGTGCTCCCATATTAACATCTTTTCCCCTTTCGTCTCTTGTTCTAAGGTGGTTTTCATTAATAATCTATACATCTTTGCAAGTATTTTTTGATCGCTTTGCATTATTTCCTTTTCTAATTTTGAAGTTTTATTTTCAAATCCCCCCTTTTTATGTATTTTTCATATGTTGCTTTTAATTGATAATATTGTAACCAATTTATTCCAAATGTTTGTAATTGTTTGTAAGTTTTTAATTTAATATTTCCGTCTGCATCCTCTAATATTTCCCTATATGTTGGCCAAGTCTCTTTTGCATTACTCTTTAATGTTGTGGTTGCCTCCACTGGTGAAACCCATTGGGGAGTTTTCTCAACAATTTTTCCTTTTGTTCTTTCCCAGACATCCAATAGAGCCTTTCTTACTATGTGATTTGCAAATTTTTGTTGTTGTTCTTTTTTGTCATAAAATAAATAGCCATGCCAGCCATATATTTTGTCCCAACCCTCTAGTGATAGGACTTAATTATCTTTTAATAATATCCATTTTTTTTATCCAGCACCAACACACTGCCTCAAAATACTTTATGGACACCTGAGTTTTCATTGAAAGCCCCTAATAATCTATAAAATTCACTGGGCGGACCAGCACTTTGTGTACTATAAAAGGGTACTTACTACTATAGGAGATTCAAAATTGGACTGGAGTTTAGATTAGTGGTCCCCCTAGGAATGTGTTGCTTCAAGCCTCACACACCTCAGAGGCATAGAACTTGGAAATAGGAGTTCCAGCATTAGCCCCTTTGAACGACAGGCAATGTTGGCTAAGGCTAAAATAAATTCGATGTGTTTGGCTTTCTGCTTTTGCCCGGTCAATAGTGCAGCATCCTCTGCATGCACTGACAGCTTCATCTCTCCAGTTCAGCAAAAGAAAACCCAATCCCTTAGTTGAGAAAGACCCTCATGGGTGTGGATTCAAATATGGCTTCTCAGAATCTTGGCCTAGTCCCAACCATCACTAATTACAAATGGAGCTGAGGATAGAAACCTAATCAGTGCCATCAAATAGGGAAACATGTTTATACTCAACAGACCACTTTCCAGTTTAAGGATGCATCCAACCTCTTATCAATCTCTATGTTTCCATGGAAGCTGGAAAAATTGAGCGGGATGTGGGGAGTAAGTGTGGGATGTGAAACACAGCAGTCAAGTCCTCATTCCTAGAGTGGACATGCAAGGGGATGCTTGGTTCAGCCAGTAGAAAACTTCCTGTTTCCTCCTGGGCTGGGACAAACTTCCTCTGCATGTGACTAGAGATGGGCGTGACCTTACCTGCCCAGGTGACAAAACAGGATGCTGAACTAGATGGGCCATTAGCTCATCTTACGTTCTTAACCCTTCTGCCAAAATGGCTAGATGAGGGTGAAGCAAAGCGATGCACTGCATGTGCTGGAAAAACTGGTGATGATGGTGCAAAGAACAATTAAGTAAGGGAGACTTGACCTAATGCTAGGTATTTGATATGGGTTCATAGAATAACAGAATCATAAAATTGTAGAGTTGGAAGAGACCATGAGGGTCATCTAGTCCAACCCCCTGCAACACATGGGGCTCACACCCATGACCCTGAGATTAAGAGTCTCATACTCAACAGTGATTGTGGTAATGGATGTTTTTTAAAAAACCTTTCCAATATTTCAGGGGTGGCCAATTCCCAAGAGACTGCGATCTACTCACAGAGTTAAAAACTGGCAGTGATCTACCCCCTTTTTGGGGGTTCAGGTCAAAGTTGTTGAGCTTCTTTGGGGGAGCCAGTGATCTACCAGTGATCTACCACAGATGTCCAGTGATCTACTGGTTGATCACAATCTACCTGTTGGACGTGCCTGCAATATTTCATTTCATTCCTTTAAATATTTGACCTTATAAAAAACAAGGCATGAGACGCAAGCTTCCCTGCCTCCCTCTGACAAGCCCACACTTGCTTGCTGAAATGGGAATTTAGTGAACTCCTGCCCTCTTCCCCAATCCCGCCTTACAGAGCAGAGATTGAGTTCTCTCTCTCTTGTGAATATGTTACAATCCTTATTGCTTTGATATGAAATGGCCAACTCATTCACTAATCTTGGGTGTTGGTGACTCACCAGAACTCTTTAATAACCAAAAATGGGTCGGGGTGGGAAAGAAGGAAGGAAGAGTGAGCCACTGTAGGTCAGAAGGGCTGAAATCCATTCTGTGTCTGAACAATGAGGGACTTCACACTTGGCTTGGCCCGTGGTTGGAGCTCATTTCCTGCAGAATTATATCATAGTGTCTTGCCCTTATCTGAGCTCTTACTCAGCCTAAGAAGTTGAAAACATACAGCAAACATCTGCTCTTTCCATTGCTATCATTTCTATTGAACAGATGGCAATAGTGAAGCACAGTGGGGAGGGAACTGTTTTGTCCAAATCATAATAGCAAAACTGTAAATAAGAGCAAGAGGCCCAATGTTTGGCATTTGGGATGGTAATGAGTATTGATGCTCCCAGGATGATGCAGATTCTGCTCCCATTCTGCTAACATACAACTACTTTTAGTAAAATCCATCTTCTTCTCAAGGCTCATGATAGTGCCAAGTCCATTACCATCCCACACCTTTCTTCCCTCCTGCCAGTCCCTGTTCTGCCTGCCACAGCAACACTAACCAGTATCTTGAGGCTGAGATTTATCCATTGCACAGTTCTGCTCTTCACTGCTTGTCACAGCAATCCTGCAGTTCTTTTGCAGCCTACTTGCTGTGTGTTTTCACCAACCATTTCTCATATGAACTGGATGTCTCTATCACCATTTCATTGTTTTGAACAAAACAGCTGACCTCTTCAGCATGAGCCTGGCTGTGGTATCACTGTGCAAATCCAAGGTCATGTTACTAAGCATGCAGACACAAGAAGAATGGGCCCAGAAACCATCCAGCATATAGCTTTGCAGGCTATAGTATCCTGGATGTTGACTCTCACCACTGATAGAAGAACTCACACAATCACAGTCATACTTTGTCCTGGTATCAGCAGAGTTGGTGTTTTATAATTTATCTGTCTCATCATTGGGACTCTTCTGGGTGAAAGGGGTCCTGAAGCTTTTCTGCAAAGATTAATGATGTCCCAGTGGCGGAAGGCGGGAATCCTTTTTGCCATTAACAGTACCTAGTCTTGTGTCGTTTTGATTACACTGCTGAACACACTCATGTTGTAGCCCAGTTCATTTAACTTGAGGAAACTGCCAAGTGGCAACCCCTACTGAGAAGCTAGCTGGTGAGTTTGGATGATGTTCTAGGAATTCCTTATACTTCTACTTAATTCCTTTTAAATTCTCCAATTCCAGCTGCATAGGCAGAAATACTGGGCTCATACAAGTGTTGGCTGTGAAGGTCTAAAGGGACCAGGAGAGAATCAGTTTTAGAGCATGCTGCCATGGTTTATGACCAGCTGATTCCTTCTGGAACAACATTAGCTAATTCTAAAAAGACTGCACAAATAATGGTAGTTCTACAGCAGCAAAGGTTTGCTTATATTAAGATTATCTTTATACAGTCATTTACATATAACAACAATTCACCAATTGAGGAGTGGGGACCCAACAGCAGAGAAAAACCATGATGACATTATGCTGAGGTAAACATTATGGCTCCTTGGGATGTGTACTTAGAAGATAATGGAAACACATTTCATTACATCACCACCTTACATTTTTAGGTGCATACTTAACACATAAGAGCTAAAGGATCCCTGACCGTTGAGTCCAGTTGTGGACGACTCTGGGGTTGTGGAGCTCATCTCGCTTACTGGCCGAGGGAGCTGACATTTGTCCACAGACAGTTTTTCCAGGTCATGTGGCCAGCATGACTAAGCTGCGAAGTCAGAGCAGTGCACGGAACCGCAGTTTACCTTCCCACCGGAGCGGTACCTATTTATCTACTTGCACTTTGACATGCTTTCAAACTGCTAGGTTGGCAGGAGCAGGGACCGAGCAACGGGAGTTCACCCCGTTGCAGGGATTCGAACCGCCAACCTTCTGATCAGCAAGTCCTAGGCTCAGTGGTTTAGACCACAGCGTCACCCGTGTCCCTATACCAAAAACATACTAGGGATAAATAAAATTTTTTTTTTACGTGAGCTGACTCCTGTAGCTAACCATAATCTATCCCAATGTGATTTTTACATTAATTCTTATCTTTAGTATGATCCACACAGGGGTGCCCTATTCAAATTCTCACCAATGCAAGTCTCAGGATGTATGGAAGCACAGTGTGGTAGCTGGCTCTGCCCTAATCAGGGAAGCTGCAGTCTTGGTATGTAGCTCACTAAAATCCTCACTGGGTTTGGGATGTTCCAGTATCTATAGAATGAAGTTTATGAATCCAGTTCATACACACACATCTTGAACTATACAGCAGCAGAAATCCCTTTTAGTGAGAGGGCAAAGTGATCTTTCTATCTCAACTGCTATCAAATAATCTTCTATTTTCATTTACTTTACTCTATGCTGCTGAATGTGTCAGCTCACATTACCCCTGAAAAAAACTACAAATACATACAGATTCACCCTATCCAGAAAAAATCTCACACGGCTTGCTAGTATGATGAGGACATATCTAACATAATTGCTACAATTCTGCAAAGATTTCTTTGCCTTTAACTTCCTTCAGTTAGTGTCACTTTCCTCTTTCCATTTCCCACTGATTTAATGAAGTATTTAAATTAAAGACCAACAGAGGCCACAGTTTAGTGCCCTCTTCTGGACACTTGAAACTTTAGGAATGTCTGCCATTAATTTTTTCTGAAGCCTTTGCGTGATGAAACTTGATTCCCCACCACCACCTGGACTCTTGTTTGTACTGGAGATTAAAACTGTACATTATTTTTAAATTGTATTTATTTTATACTATTTTATTTTATTGATGTTCTTGTATGCAAGCAGCTCTGGGGTCTTTATGATAAAAATAAAAACCCTCTACAAAAAAAGAAGTTATGTCTATCATTAAAACTTCAGTCTGCTTTGTGAAATGGAGTTTTCTAGACTTGGAAAATAATATTAATAATATAAATGTAGAAAAACCTTTACTTGAATTTTACATTCAGTGCACATGAAAATATTTTGGAAGGAAATTTAATTACAGAAGTATTTATGATCTCATCAAAGAAAGCTATGGTCATAATATTGGGCACAATTATATACAACTAAGTTTCAATGAAATTAATAGGACTTTACATACATAATTACAAACAGTACTTTTGGCCAATGTTAATATGTAGTGTTAAATTAGGGCTTGCTCAGAGGCAACGTTTCCCATGTCATTGAAGACATGAGGCGCTGTAAGTATTAGCATTCCTTTTTTTTTTTTAAATCATATTTATTAAAGTTTCCAAAAATATAAAAATACAAAGAAAAAAAGAAAAAGAAAAAAAGATATTTAAAAACCTTACTTTCATTGCCTACTTTCTGGGACTCCCCCCCTCCCCCCCCCGACTGTATTCCCCTTTCCTTAATTTAGTTCTACAAGCTCTCACTCCCAATTTGAAGCTTAATTTGTTTAACCCACTATCCAAATTGAATTGTACAAATCTTACCACCGTCCCACATCATTAACAAGAAAAGAAAAAAGATTTTCCCCAAGATCCACCCCAGTTCCTTCCACGAATTCCCTTTTTTAAACACCTCCAATCAAAATAAAATGACATGCACAAGTTACGTAAAAAAAATAAAAAATAACAGATATACAAAAATTCAAAAGATGGTTACACAGCCTTTGGATTTCAAATCTCCCCCTTCCCGGTTTGAATTCCCCATATCCATCAGTCTGTGCATTATCAGCTTGGAAGTCTCAATTCATGACCAAATTTCTCCCCGATTCCATCTTGCCGGTTTTCTTTTAATTTATTAATAATATGTAACTTCAAATGTCCAATCTAACAAAGGCCTTTAATTTCCTTGATCTTTACCACACCTCCCGTTGTTCTTTCCGTGTCGTAATCAGTCCTTTGTTCTTCTTTTCCTCACTTTCTCAGGTTTCTTGTCCTGTTCAGCTGCTAGAACTTTCTAATTCAGAAATCTGATATCTCTGCAGAGGTTTGTTATTCAGGAACAAAAACTTACGTCCAGTCCCTTCCTTTCTTCAATAGAAAATTCTATTGTCTCCTTTAATGTAAATACCTCTGTAGACAAAATACTATTTCAGTTTTGCAGCTTTCCCAAAGATAACAAGTCCTGTGCGAATCCCAGAGTATTTTTCCACTTACGACCGTTCTTGTAATATCCCGAAACCCCTCTAGGGGATTGTAATAACTTTGCATCCTCTAATCCAAAAGTCAAATTGTTGCTTATTTTCCAACAGTTTATATCCATATTGTAGCAAATTGTAGCAAAATTAACCGGCAAAGTCCTCATAACAAAGTCCTCTTTATATTCTCCAACTTTGACAGCCACTTTGACAGCTGTCAAAGTCTCCGTCTCTCTTCACCAGGCTCCACGAATCGCCCCGGTTCCCAGGGGGGGGGGTTGCATTTTGGTTGTCACCCTCCACTCTTCTCCTCCAGCACAATTCTTATAATTTCCCATCGTGAAATTAATGGTTTTTATCAAGAATATACTTCCCTTTGGACCTTGGTTACCCAGTCCTTGTTTTGGAATGCTTACAGTAGGGGGGGGGGGATTGACTTACGTTTTTAAATCGCCCCCCGCGAGTGCCAAATCCGAAATTTTGAACCCGGTTTCCCAATTACTCACGGGTTGTTGTTAATAGTCCAAATTTTCAATGGAAGAAGTCAGCGCTCTCCGTCGAATGGCATGCGGCTGCGCTCGGCAGGGAAAGCAGAAGACTCAAAGCACCACGCCGCTCCCCGGCACCCGATCCGAAGCCTTTAAAAGGCTCCTTCACGAGTCGGGAGGGCGCTAATGGTGCAAGCCGAGTCACCCATGTCCACGGACTCCGTGCCCGTGGTTTTTAAGGGTCCCCGCGTCGCCGGCGCGGTAGGACCCAGCCCCTGCCGAGCAGACTCCCTCCGGAGCTCGGAGGGAGTCCGCCATTCGGCGATGGCGCCAACCCGGAAGTCTTGTAAGTATTAGCATTCCTTATGGTATGAGTGTTCTTTGTAACAGGGCCATTGTCTATTACACACTCTTCTCCAAGAGAAACTGATCTGTCCAAAGAACAGAATGCAAAAACATTCACAACTCTCCTCTGCACCTGCCACCCAGCTACTCAGTCAGTGAACTGTGGGAGAATGTCTCTTTCCCAGGGGCATAGGGAGCCTGGCCCCGGGTGTGAATTTTTGAGGGGGGCAAAGCAGGTGCCCCTAGTGCTGCCCAGCCCATTGGAGAAACCAACCCTGGTGGAGAGGAGCACCAGGACAGACTGTGCTGGGGGCGCCAGCATGGGGGCTCCTGCTCCATGCCCACCAAGAGCTCTGAGACTACCATCATTGGGATGGGGCAGGGGCCTGCTTCAATAAATGCCCCCACTGCTAATATGCCTAAGACTCAGTTGCGTTTCATTGGCCGGACTATGCTTTTCAAATGGAACTATATTATTTATAGTCCACCTGTTGCCCTGCAGAGTACAGATCACAACAATAATTCCTAGATCCTTCTTAATCCCGGAGTATTTTTAAAACCATGCTTGATATTTAACAGTTTGTCTTTAACACAGGTAATATGAGAGGTCTTTGGCCATAGTGTCCTCCAGGTATGGGATGAAAGAAGTGTGGATTTAAATCTGCTTCATCTTCTTGGTTAGTCACTCATGATATTCTTCATGCAGCTTTCTGTATGATCACAGCCCATAGTGGGAAGACCTTGATTAGGTCTACCACCTAACTGTAGTCATTCTGACAGCACCGATGGAATACATTGGGGATTTATGTTTATTCAACAGAGGCATGGGGTCTATTAAATCAACAGAAATACTAGGTTAAAATGACAGGAAGAATTCTAGCGCAATGCAAGATCAGATAGAATATGCTAAGTCAAGGTTGCTAGCTCAACTCCCACATGGTTCTTGGGTCTCAGTATCGTCACAGCAATGGATGGTTTTATTTGCCAAGTAATTCACTTGATTCTATTGTCTTTTTATATTTCTGACAACAATGTAAAAGTCACTATGTGATTTTTATCTGCCTTTACTGGTATAGAAGTCAAAATACAATGTTGGGCAAAATGCTTCTCAATGGTTTGAGTGGTGTGAATGAGCCATATGGTGGATGATCAGGTCATCTGTTTCAACAAATTTGATCTAAAAAAACAAACCCTCATAAATGTACTCTGTGAATTTGGCAGAAAATTCTGAGAATAGCTTTATGATTCAGCAGTGAAAAAAAGCTAAAAATAATCTTACATCAAGTGTTTTAGTAGCAGAGCCTCTCTGGTGAGAGTCAACATCCTGGCACAGCTGTTTGACAACTTATAATACTAATGTACTAGATTATTCCAAAACTGTAGACACAAGAAAAATCCACAGTTTAAAAGCTCAACAGCCTGTAGCTGAATGATACCGCAATAGGATTATAATATTACCTTTTTAAAAGGTTTGATACAGAAACTTTTGGGAGTTGGTTTTTGCTACTAGTCTTGTACTACACAGAGTCTTCTCTCAGTTTTCTGTGCTTTTGGCTACTTTTGGCAGAGAAGCTATATCTGCCATACAGAGAAGTAGTAGGGAGTGTCAGGTCTTTGATATCCCATTCTTGGGAATTCTTGCCGGACAGTAAGATTGCTGTAATTCTTTTTTCTTGAAAAAAGTAAGGCAGATCTCCTTAAATAACTC